GGGCCAATGCGCTGCAGAGTTTAGCTCCAACCCTGATCAAATTCATCTACCTGTGATTTTCTAATGATTTCTAAAGACATTGATTAGCATGCTCAGGTGTGTTTGATTAGGGTTAGAGCTAAACTCTGCAGGAAAGTGGATCTCGTGGGCCAGATTTGAGGATCCCTGGTTTATAGGTTGCAAATCTGCAAAGAAATAAATTGTTTCTTTTAAAACATTTAAGGAATAACACATGGTACAATAATTAGGTAATTACTACAGTCTTAAACTGATTCTCAGATAATGAAACTACACTGACTTTGCACACGCCCACCCCTCAACACTCACACACACATCCTAACACATTACACTAATAAACTATAAACTAGGCCTAATTCTGGGATCAAGGTAGGTGGACTGACTGCGACAAAGTGTTTGTGATACTTGATGATTATAAAGACATTCAGAACATGTTCATTGATGGATGGTAAAACCCTATTCAGAAATATGAGAGGTACGTGAGCGCAGCCCCCATAACGTTACCTTACAGTAAGCCTATGCCAGATAGGTATAGCCAACGTAAGGCTACAGCCTATGTACAGTTACAACTACGTCCATAACTCGAAAACACTTTACCATTGTGCTAATGGCTTACATAACAAATAATAATCACTAAATGGTTTTACCTTGTGTAAAAGCGAATATCCTCATCAGATCCCGCGAATCTCTGGAGGTCAAAGCGGCTATTCACCTTGGCCTGCTCCAGCTGTTTCCGCAGATCTTCTATCTCTCTCTTCAACTCCTCATTTTCTTATGACTCGACATTCAAATAAATAGAAAAGACACTTGAAAATACTGTATCTTAGTCTTGTCTTTCACCATAGTTGTAAATAAAGATTTGAGCAGGTGGCAGAAGATTGACAGAATTAGAACGGTGTTGCAATTGCAGGTTTAACTATGGCTGCTCTAACAAAGGAAGGAGGTCAAAAGTTGGATGGTAAAATTATTTTTTTAATGAACCAACTGGTCAAGAAGAATGTTAATTATCAGGTATCAGTAATGAAAGAATGTTGGTATGAAATATATTGGTAAGTCAAAAGGCAAGCAAAAAAACATCAGGCCATCATAGTAAGAAAATTAGACAGTTTGCAGAAAATATTTACAATATTTCAAACCATGCCTTGACAAGTGGTCCATTCTGATAGTTAACAGAATTATATGTGGCAAGTCAAAAAACATCCCAGATGAGACAAAAGCAACAAGCAAAAAAATCTATTAGGCAATCATAGTAAGAAAATTAGACAGTTTCCAGACCATATTTACAACAGTATATTTACAACATTTCAATGTGCCAAATAAAGACTTTAAAAGACTTAGTACACAGACAAGAATGACTGTGTAGACTCACTGGGCCCATGCCTTGACAAGTGGTCCATTCTGATAGTTAATGAGAAGACATGACACGGCAAACAGTTGATTAATGCTACCAGAAATGGACATGGGGATGACTGCGTCAAACAACTTATGTTCCTTCACCCGCCGGATCAGGCGTTCAACATGCACCCTGAGCCTGGCCACAGACTGAGTGTGTCTCACCTCTCCGGCAGACATTTGTGTGCCCTTGGTCACAAAAGCAGGCCAGTTGATCCTTCTAATGTTTACAATCCATTTTTTCCTGATCTCTTCCTTCACCGGAAAGGAATGAAAACTAGCACAGGAGTTGTAGCGTGAAGACACAGAGCACAGCGGGACACTACAGTGCTCCGATGCTGCCTTCATTTGCTTTTGACGTCGGAAAACCGTCTTTTCCATGGTTATAGAGAAGGTATATGGGACATTCTACCAGAAACGTACATTTCCACTTATAAAAATCTTGGGTGAAAAAAATATCTTATTCTTAAATCTGAACGTTGAGTCATATGGAGGACATGTTAATCTATATGAAACACATATCATGCCATCTCAGCATGTTTTTATGATTGAAATAAATAAATTTTTAAATACTATGGTAATATCTGCATTATTACTTAGGAAATTACATGGTAATAACGGAAATTGCATGTCATTTCCTAGGTAATAATGTAGATATTACCATGGTATCTGTATGAATTGAAATAATTACAGTCATCATTACTCAAAGCTTATATAAATGACAATTATATCTATATATGAAGAGTTTATTTGCAAAAACAGATAACTCTGTTTTTTGAAATGTTCAAAAATCATGTTTTTATTATGTAATCATGTTTTTGTGTTTTATTGTGTTAGTTAGCTGTAATTATTAGTTATTTTTTAACCTAATCAATATAACCCAACTAAAGTTTGATTGAGATTAATTGGAATGCACAATGAAAAAACATGATTTCAGAGAATTGTCCTTTGAACTTAGTGCCAAGTTTGAAACCATGGCATCTCATCTGATTATGCACAGCGTCTCGGTTCTCCTCTTTGCCCCAGAAGGTGAGGTTTACAGGCATTGAAAATTTATTTGTCTCTCCATAGGGCACAACCCTATTAGGGAGATCAAACACAAAAGTAATCTGTTTCAATCAATTTGCAATAACATACCCAACAAATAACAAATTTGTAGAAAAGACACTGAGAAATTACTATACCCTTCCACCCTGGCCAAATTGTTGTCCATAATGTAGGCCATTGGGGCTGACAGCTCTTTCTTGATGTGCCCCACCTGACTTCCATACACATTAGCAACCATCACTGCATTTCGGTCATAGGGATTCTGCGGCTGCCTCACCAAAGACACCATCTCTCCTCTATTGACCTACAGCACATGTCAGAGTCAAATAATAATCTTGTTATTAAATGAGATTAATTCCATGATAAATTAGTCAGTTTTGCTTTAACCACTAGAGGACAATATACACTATGCAGTGGGACAGGTGCGCAGACCACCTGTTCCTGTTAGGTGTGTCAGAAGAATTAAGCACGGCAGGAGAAAAACGTTAATGTTGTACTGCAATACATAATACTGCATTCTTTTAAATTGTGTAAATCATCTTTGAACAGGAACCTGACCCAAAGACATGTAGCTGTGTGGAAAATGCAGATTTTTCCTGATGAGTTAAAACAGTTCAGTTTATACATACATGTGTGTATGTGTGATTCCTACCGTTCCAGTGTAGTAGCGCAGACCAACAACTGTGCCTTGAATTGAACCAATCTGAACATTCTCCTCTGGCAGGTCCTGCCCTGAATCCT